ACTGGGAGCTGGATTTAGAAATGCTAAACTTTTGTGCCAAATTGCTGGAAATCTCTTAGTACTTTCCCATCTGGGTAAGGGATTAATATCGGCTGTTGATGTATGCGTAAATGATGCAACAGTTGGCAGTATTTTCGTTCTTTTCACTCCTCTGCTTACCGCATATCCTAGTTTCTCTTGCATTGGTCCCACACACATTTGACGGTCTATAACCTCTCCTTGAGCACAGAATCTGTGCCATACGAGGTATTATTGCTTCACCGTCAGCACATAATCGTTCTGTTTTGTTCCTTCATTAGACATTGCAGTGCACAACACTGAAGAGTGAAAGCTTTTTCGCTTTGCTTCACGTCGTTGCCAATTCTCATTTTTTTGGCATCGTTGAAAAGGGCGATTTTAATGTATAATCTATTCAGACGGCTTTTTTTTAAATTGGTATCGCCTTTTCGGTTTTTTGATCTTTAAAAGCGTGCAGCACAACTTTACTTATTTTTAATGAGCCAAACGGTAGGAGAACTCGAACTACAGCAGGATTTTTTGTTTTTTCCATTGTTCTCTTCTGATAAAAGGCACCATTTTAATATAGAGTCGCCAGATTCGTAACGTATTCTCTTTAACAAATTTCTGCTTTCCTGGTAGTGAAGTCAAAAATTCCAAAACTTGTTGATTTTTGGAGCCGCTATTTTATAGGTATATCGACAGCTGTATGCACCAAATCCGTTTGCAAGTGAAACAGATGAAGATATCCAGAAATATATGAAAGAAGTGGAGGCAAAGACTCCGAGACCAAGTTCAGCGATCGACAGTGCTGAACGCGCAGCACCCAGCCCACCGCTTTATGAAAATGATAGCCCTTCTGTAGGCAAGTTTTTTCGGCTTAAATATCTTTCTGATACTTGGGCGCTGAGGGGTAAAACTGTTTCATTGTGTTAAATCGTCATTTATGTCACTGTGGTAACGGTGTAATTGTGGGGCGCGTGCTTGGTGTAGTATTTAAAGGACTGGTTATAGCGGATTCATTCGTACGGGCTATTTTGATCAGTGTTGTTTCATTGCAACACGCTTTCACATCAGTTGTGTAGTTGTGGTCAGTGACGCCTCTCGTGGAGGGTCTTGCGTCTTTCATCTCTTTGATATTTTTCAGCAGAAAGCGCATGCAAAGACTTCCGGTTCGCCAGTTCCGTATCCTTGGTAAAAGGACTCGAGCACAACTCATTTGTAGCTTACTGTTCTGGACATTTGTCTTGATGTCTTTTTGTCATCACACTTTGTTTTTTTTTTTTTTTTTTTTTT